GCGGAGGGGCGCCCCAGCCCAGGGCTTTGCGGAGGGGCGCCCCAGCCCAGGGCTTTGCGGAGGGGCGCCCCAGCCCAGGTCAACCTGTACTGAGACGATGTCGAAGGAGGAGTTCCCTCCTGCGCATGCGCCCCGTCCCCGCAGCGGGCACACCGCGTAGGATGGGCAGCAGCCTGGGAAGCCCTGCGTCCCTGGGGCCCCCTGCGTTCAGCGCCTTCCCTTAGGGGGCTCCCAGATTTTCAGGGCACCCCCCGGGGGTTCTGGCAATCCCTCCGAGTTTGTGCTAGACAGTGACGGCCTCCTGTGCAGCTTCCCTGCAGCCAAGGCAGACGGCCCCGTCCTCCTCAAGCCCAGCCTTCCCGGAGGCCGCAAAGCACGGCTTAATACCGGGACAGGAATGAAAGCAGAGAGTGAGATAGAAGGATGGTGAGGTGACTGAGGATGTCGAGGGGGCGCTACGCCTCACCACCCATTCCTGCACCTGCCCCTCTCGGGCGTCGACACTGAGCACCCCACTGCCCAGCACAGCCCTGCGGCCGCCCCTGGCCACACCAACCGCGCTCACCAGCTCTCACCCTGCCCCTCCGCGGGTGGGGGCTGAGGGCTCCGTCAGCATCTGTGGCACTGAGGGAGGGGGCCCAGCTGGCTTGACCTGGCCTTGGCCTCTGACAGTTCCGGGACCTCCTCCTCTGATTGGGTGTGGGGCAGAGATGGGTCCCCATGTTCTCAACAAGGGTATGTGGGCCGGTCAGTGTGGCCTTGGCCAAGACCTGACCCCACCGTGGCTCAGCTGCCCTGTCCTGGGCTGTACAAATCAAAGGGTCATTGATGGCCTGGCATGGACTCAAAACTGAGGCCGCATGCCTCGGCCTCCTGCTCCAGCCTGGAGCTTCTGCCCAGCAGGGGCCTCGCCCTAGGTAGCCTCGAGCAAGAGACTGACCGCTGGGGCCTCCCTCCCCGCTTCTCTCTCATTCATGTGCTCCCCCCCACCCTGTCCCCAGCCTCGCCTCACCTGTAGCCCACCACCTACTCTGGCACTGGCCATAGGCGCCTGCCAGGTTCTCAGGCCACGCCCGGCCTGGCTCACTGCCCAGGCTTCGCTCTTCAGGGGACCAGAGGTGCTGGCCCAGGTGTCCAGAGCTGTGAAGAAGGATGAGCCAGATGCCGGAAATCGAGGCCAACTTCTCAGAGGCAGGGAACATTTAAACCAGACTCGGAAGTTGGACCGAAGGGCGAGGGGCGAGGGGGTGGGAATTGGGTGACAGGGTGTTTATTATGCTTCAGGTAACAGAAAGTCCAATTCAAAGGTGATGCCTGAAGAAGGCCTCCTGCCCCCCCGCAGGGACTGAAACTTCCGGTCACACCACCTCTCCCAGCGAAGGGTTTTTGTGGGTAGGATTAAGTTAAGGACCGGTGGATGGAGAGGGGTGATCTGGATTATCCAGAAGGGCCAGTGACGTCCAAGGATCCTTAAATGCTGAGATCCTTTCCCCTGTGGCCGGGGAGATGCACCACGGGACCCCACACCGATTCCGAGGACTGGGAGGGGCTGGCAGCCAGGGGATGTAGGCAGCCGCCGAGCCTCCAGACAGGGAAGCAGCACCTAGTCTCTAGCTCAGGAGAGCAGCGCTGGGCTTCTCGCTTCCTGAGCTGTCGGAGGAGAAACTTGTCTGAAGCCTCCAAAGCCAGGGGAATCTGGAGCAGCAGCAACGGCAGCTGCAGACTCGCAGACGCCGACTGGCTCACAGGAGCACGGCCGCCGGGACAGACGAGCGTCTGAGCGTGAGTGTGGAGACGGGCAGCCAGGCCGAGACCCGGGAGCCGGGGTCGAGGGGCTTCTGGGGGGCTTCTGTAGGTCTGGAGGGCGAGGCAGCAGCTGGGCTGCCCAGCGTAGGCTGTGCGCCCTGGTCAGGCCAGGCTTGTGGGGTCTCTGTGTCCTCTGCAGAACGGGCACAGGTCTCAGCGCCCTGCTGAGTCCAATCTCGATGCCGGTGGCATCTGGCACAGAGCGGGGAGGGGCGTCACGGGTCATTTTTTTTTTTTTTAAAGATTGATTTATGCATGCAGAGCTGGGGTACAGGTAAGAGGCATGGGGTGAGAGGATGCACCAGAGGCAGAGAGAGGCGCAGAACAGGCAGACTGCAAAGTACACTGCTGAGGGGAGCAGCGGGAGAGGTCTGCTGTACCCTGTGGGTACTCTCTGGCGGTAACCTCTTAGTGCTGGGACTTTATCCCTGCACCACCAGGGAGGACCCCATCAGGGACTGTGATTAACAGGTATATGTGCAGGGTGGATGTATGTTGAGTCTTCAGAGCCAGGATGCTGTGAGGAGGCTTTTTTGCAGAGGGGTCAACTGAGCCTGGAGGATGAAACTGATTTTTTCACATCACAAAGCCCTCTGGGTTAAGATGGAAATCAGGGCCCTCCCTGGTGGCGCAACGGTTAAAGCGCAGCCTGCAAGCTGCCACAGCTGCTTCAGTGCGGGTTCGATCCCCGCCCCGGAGGTGACCCCCAGGGCGCGGCAGACCTCTCCTGTCTCCCCGCTGCTCCCCTCAGCAGTGCACTTCGTCCATCTGCCTGTTCTGCCGCCCACTCTGCCTCTGGTGAATCGTCCCACCTTTACTGTGCCTCTGTTCTGTATGAATAGATAAATCTTAAAAAAAAAGACTGAAATCAGAACTAGGAAAGGAAGAATCCAGGAGCTGTGTGCTCCTTATCTGGACTGGACAATGAGGGCCAGTTCCCAGGTTGTGCCTGACACCTCCCTTGCCCAGCCCACATGCCCTAAGGGGTGAGCGCGGACACAGGCCCAGCCGATGAGGATCATCTACCAGTCCGCAAAGCATAGTCAGCTCTAAGACTTGTGCTGGGAAAGGAATATGCATTTCCTGCCAGAGCTGGAGGCCCGTGAGCTGGAACAGTGGCCACGAGTAGGCAGCAACTACTGGGGTAACAGAGAGGCCTGTATCCAGCCCAACCTGAATTTCTCCTCCAATAAAATTTTTTAAAGATTTCTTCCGTTTTTTTTTTAGCATACAAGAGCTGGGGTGCAAGGGTGAGAGGATGCACCAGAGACATAGAGGGGAGCAGAACAGGCCGACTGATGAAGTACACTGCTGAGGGGAGCAGAAGGGAGACAAGAGGTCTGCTGCACCCCGTGGGTCAGCTCCCTGGCTGGGGATCGAACTCAGGCCACAGTGGCTGGAGGTAGCTTGAGGGAGGCTGAAATGAAGTGGCTTTAAGCTGAGTTACCGTCGCCTTCAGCAGACAAGGACTTGTTGATTCCCTGATGGGGGTGTGATGCTGACAAGGCCGTGTCTGAAGACCGGGCCCTGGCAGGTGGTCTGGAGAGCCGGGTCTTACAAGCCCTGCCCATGTGCCTACCCTGCTCAAACACCATCTCTGGTGCCCTACGGCCAGGGATGGAGTCCAGGCTCGCCAGTCTGAGCTGCAGCCCTGTCCTGCCCAACTGATATCCCTGCCACAAGGCGTCTTCCAGGGGACCCCAAGAATTCCCACCCCAGTCCCTTCCCTATGAATGGACCATACTGGCTTTGTGCAGTCACGAGTGGCCACCTGTATTAAGAAGGCAGGTTCCAGTCACCTTCCTTGGCCCAGGGGTAAATCCTGATTGTCTGAAGATAGTCAAACTTCGGTCAGCTGCGCCTTTTATGAGTCATTGGTCAGGACACAAGCACAGTGTCCTGGCTCAGGCTGTTCTAGAACATGGGGAAACTCAGACATCCAGGTTGGCTGCGGCTGAAGTTGACTCTGTAGCTTGACCCATGGTATTAGTTTCCAGTTTGCTGCTGTAACAAATCACCTGACTTTACCTGCCAGGACGCTTCCTGAGGAGGAAGGCAAGCAGGCTAAGGAGGCAGCCTTGGTCAAGCCCTGAAGCACCCCTCTTGGGAAAATGACTCCTCCCTGCCCTGCTTCCCCATTTCTGAATAACCCTTCTGAACAGTAGCTCTGCCGAGGGCGACACGGGATAGTGAGTATTGGGGGGGGGGCACGTGTCCACGGCAGCCCTGGCTATTTCATCAGCAGCCGACTCAGCACGTGGGGCTGGTTTTCCTGGGGTGTCAAAATGGACTGTGGCATTCCCGCCCTGGCACAGGCCCGCAGAGGCGCCTCTGGCTGTCCCTGTCTCACGCAGGGCGGGCGCTGCCGCGAGGGAGCTGGCCCACTGCGTTCTCTCATGTGTTCGTCTTCAGTCCAGCCTGTGTTCACTTGGTACTGAGTGTTCCTGGGGACAGAATTGTGAACGGGAGGAAAAGGCACAAGAATTCCACATGTCTAATTCAAACCTGTGCCCTGGGTCAAGGTCAAGGTCAAGGAAGGGTCCTGGTGAAAAGGATTAATGAGATAACAGCAGGTGGAACCAGGATGACCCCACCAGCATGGTAAACGCGCTGCTGTGCGCAGGCCAGAAAGCGGCCCCTCTGCTGGAAGGACATCAGGGCATGTTGGGGATAACAGGCCATGGGGGCCGTGAGCTTGTCCCCAAAAGTCCACACAGGAACACAGAGAACAAAAGTGGTGGAATTTTAAACAGCTGGTACTTTGAGCCTGGGAGGCACTTTGTATGACTCGTGAAACTTTTCACAGGTTAGAAATTAATAAAGTGAGCAAGAGGGCCCCCCTGGTGGCCCAGGGGCTAAGTCTCAGCACTGTGAAGCTGTCCTCAGCTGCTGCAGCACCCCCAGGGAGCAGCAGACCTCTCCTGTCTCCCCGCTGCTCCCCTCAGCAGTGGGTTTCAGTGGATCCGCCTGTTCTGCTCCCCACTCTGTCTCTGGTGAATCCTCTCACCCCCCCCCATGAATCTGGCCAGCACCCCAGTTCTAGTATGCATAAATAAATAAATCTTTAAAAAAAAAAAAAGCCAGCAACACTCCAAAGGCGCTGGTCAGGAGAGAGTGGGGGTGTCCCTTCCCCCACTAACCTCCTGGGTCCTGGACCTCGCACCTTATTGTTGAGGGCCTCCCAAGCCAGGTGAGGAATGAAAGTTCCCTGTGACCTCAGATTTGACCCAGGAGGATGGGCGGCCTCTGGTGGATGGCTTGGGGGTGATGGGGGCTCTGTGGCACCGTGTGTGGGGTTTTGCCCTGGGTGTGGCTGGTTCAAGAGCCACATACATGAAAGGTCATTTGAACGCAAGTCAGGATCAGCCCCTCTGGTAGGCGCTTAAATCCCTGAACAAACAGCCACAATAAGTGGGGGGGGAAATGAGATACCACAAGCCAAAATCTAAGAATTGAAAGTGAAAAGTATATGAAAACTCAATCCCAAACAAAATGCAAACAAAAAGAAACCCATACAAACCAATGAAGACCAAGCCGGGCGGGGGTTCCCAGCGATGGGGCTGGGGCGCCCTCTGGTGGCAGGAATGGTTTAGGCTCATCCCAGAGCCTTGAGGGGGACAAGATGGTGGTTGGCGGACCAAGCCCCATCGCTGGCCTCTCGGCATTCAGGGCCGTTTGTGCACGGAATCCAAACTTTAATTTCTCGGCATCCTGGCCTCCATACCCCTTTCCGGAGGAAGCCCAACTCCAACTCCTACTCATTCCTCAAAGCCCGGGCTCCAATGTCCCCTCCCCCAGGAAGCCACCCCAGGCCGTCCAGCTCGAGCTCAGCTTCCGGGGACCGAGGACGTTTGCCTCCGGCTCGGTTGCCAGGGAGACTCGGCTCCTCCCGCGCAGACCCCGCCCCTCAGTTTCCTCCGCCCCTTGCCCTGCTCTCGGCGCCCTCGTTTGTTTGGCCCTCAGCGGCCACCATCGCCCTAGCCCCGCTCCCGCGTGCCCCGCCCACGCTGTGCGTGCCATGCGTGGCGTGCGCGGGTACGTCGACCCGCGAGGGAGCAGCAAACGGCCGGCGGCGG